CGAGCTTCAAAACGACTCACGGCGCGCTACCGCCCGGCCCTAATTTCCACCCTTGATCGCTCTGCTGTCGACAGGAATGAGCAGAATGCAAAAAAGAAGCGAACCGAAGGAACGAAGAAAAATACGGCGATGATGAAGGATGAGTTTTCCACGATACGAATGAACTATTAATCTCACGCGCGCGCGCGAGATCGCTCCAATTTTCTGCTTTAAGGCAAGATATATCCGTAAAAAAAGGGGGAAAGAAAAACGGGAGAAAAACGGCGCCGGTGACACGAGAGCGGAAAGAAAGGCGGGCGAAATTAAGAGAAAATCGGTTAACGGATCATTCCCGCTCTTCTGCGTTCGTAATCTTCGGGATATAAAAAGGTAAAAGGATACACGCAGCGCCATGTGTAGCAAATCCTTCTTCATCCTATCCCCCCCTCCCCCCTCCGCTCCGCTACACCAACCGAGAAACGAGTCTACGCTTCCGATACTTGAAACCTAAGACAGTCGTCGGCTAGTCCTAGTGATATATTTTAATAAATCATTATCGCGGGTCTATCCTTCTTTCCCATCTTCCTATCATAGTAGTATGTCGTCGTAACTAATTATTCAGTTAGGGCGTCTTTTCCCCCTTTGCGTTTTACCTTATACACGAGTAACCACGAGGACTGTCATCCAAAATCGTCTCGTTTCGCATACATTAAACCGAGTCTATAGTCTATCTCGCCTTCTCGCGGTCGACGTTGCGGGATAATCGATTAGGATTTCGCAGGCAGTGTTTGAGGTCTTTTATTTTTATTTTCTCTTATTCTCTCGGGTGCGTTTCGAGCTCACGTCTCGACGAACAGCGGCGAAACTACTTTGCCTCGCTGGCGGGGCAGGCTACCTTCCTCTACGTCGCCGATCGATCGTTCCGCTCGCGATATCCCGCCGCATCAATCGCATTCACGCAACATACAGTAATCTTACAAATAATATATCTAACAACTTTAAGTTCAACTTAGATTGCTTTCCGTGATCACGCCTACTCCAACCCGAAGCGCGCCTTCGTGCACTCGCATCGGGCACGCACTTCTTCGCACTTGGCAAGACTGGGACCATCATTCACGATCGATATACTTTCCCTCCATTACCGTAAACACGCGATTGACGTGACGTGGTCCGCAAGGACTGCACGAAGGCGCTCTTAGCCAAAGTTCGTGTGTACTTTACTATTCTATCGTAATATTACGTTTGCTTTTACTCTTTTTTATAACTTTCTTTAAATATACGATAGGTAGGTTTACTATTCTTACGTATCGATCTGTGACATCATACAATCGCACACACACACACTCACGTATACATAACATTCTTTCGATCGCTTTTCTCTGCTCATCGTTATATCCAGACGTGTCTGCGATCTAGTACGATCTAGGACGTCGGTTGATAACTGAGAAATTTAATGATGATTTGTAGATACAAGTGGACCGAACGGATCGACGAAGAGTGATCCGCTTCCCCGTTCAAAACGCGAAAATCGTGCGTAAGAATCTTTAAAAGCGACGAAACTTTCACAAGGTCAACGGAATCCTCGTCGATCCGCACGACTTCGAGACTAGCTCGGTCTCGATCCGAAAGTCTTTCAATTTTATCCCTAACGTGTGTCCGGCCTTAATCCTACGTCATAATACTATCCAATACTTGTTGAAGCTCATAATAAGTACATACTCGAGGATTAGATTATTGTATTATTCCCTTACATCTTCCTAGGTCTCGCTTAGGTACAACCCCGCTATTTCGATCTCTCAGATTTTTTCAGCGGTTTCCTATCGGAGTTCTTCTCTCTTATCGTGTACCATCTCGTATAGGTTGAGCCTTATAGGTACAAAAGGTAAGTCGTCAATCATGACGATCTCTGTACAGAAGTTAATAACAGCCACGCCCACTGAGGGCTCGATCGGGCATCTCCGCGCTGCTGTATTATCGAGGATATTGTGAATGTTACAATATAAATATGTCTATGTACAAACTTAAAAGTAAGAGCGAAACTATCACCGATGCGATCAACTACTTGAGAGAACTGAAATCCGTGTTTAGAAAGGCGTCATGATCCCCCCCCCCCCTACTACTCTTTATAGCCTACGTGTATGTGTGCTGATTATGGCTGGCTGGGTGCTATCTCGATACGTCGATCGTTCGACAAACCGCGCTAAATGAGCACCGGTAAACATTTGTTGTCGCGTTGATTATAAAATGTATGTCGAGATCTCCGAGGAAAAGTCGGACGGACGCTAACACGAACGCTATTTCCACTATAGTGCGAGTTTGCATATTTTCATGGACGATTGCTAAACGAGGACGTATGTATTTGCAAAATTAGCGATGAAGCATGGTAAAATTGAATTTCTGTCATTTTCGTACATGTCAAAAAATATCCGTTTGCACCGTTGAAAAACATTTGTTTATTCAGAGATCGAGAGATGTTTTTTTTTTCGTGGCCAATCAACTTGACTGAATGCGGATAGTCGAAATACTGACAATAGATTAAAATCATGCCGTTGCTTTTTAGCAGTAAGTCTTCTCTGTCGTTTTTATAAAAATATAACGCTATTATCTATATGTACAGATAATCACGAAGTCGGAAACGCCCGTTCCCATGTCCGAAAGAAGCTCTCGAGCGGTATAATGAAACAGAGCGTAACGAAAGCTAACGGTAGTAAAATAAATAAAGAAGAGTATTTAATAATCTGTATATTTGATATCTTAAGATAAACCAAATATAACAGCAAATCTGCCAAAATTCGAGATTTCGGGCGAAGCAGATTTCACGGACGCTGCGCATTGTAGGCATTTCTATGCCGAAGCATGTACGTGTTGCATGTATACGGATAAAAATGCAACGCTGGCTTCGATAGCCCGCGCAACCTCAAGTCCGGAAGTCGTCGAAACGATCGCTCGCCTCGATGTGCCCCAGCACCGCGTTTAATTTTGTTGGCGGTCGTTACTCCGGTTTACTCAGCGATACCGCAGGATGCAACGAGAGATCTCTCCGGCCATGTTCATCGAAAACTTATAAGCAAACATGTATATCCTCTACACTAATATTAGACTTATCTAAGCGGAAAATGTGTACACGTGACTCCCAAGTCCGGTATTATGTACAGTGCACGGGCGCGTACATAACGATCGCCGTTAATCGCTCGTTAGGCGCGTAACGCGTTTCTCTCGTGCATGCGCTTGTATGTCTCTCTTGAGAAAAGAATCGGATAAAAAAAAAAAAGAACAGACGGGACTACGCGCGTTTGAAAGAAATGTAGGTATACGTGGATCTGAGACCACGGGTCTTAACGGTTTCCTTTGAAGGAAATAGACCCGCGTAGCACCTTGATTTGAAGGGAGGGAATAGGGAGGGAATGTTTTGTTCTCGACGATGACGACGCGTCGGTGAAGGTGATTCTCGAGGTGATTCCTCGCGAACTGGAGTAAGTCGATTTTTTCGAGAGTTCCGCACGACACGAAACGACACGCGAGTACGACGCGTCTTTGTCGACATAATGCGAATACGCGGGGGTAAAAACACGGCGTCATCGTGTGCTCGTTTCGCTGTGCGTTACGTGAAGAATAATGGTGATGATCAGAACGGCACGAAGGTTCTCGCAAACAAAAGATAACAGGCAGTAACTCGCGAGATCGTCGAGATGCGACATATGAAGGGAAAAATGGAGGAAAACGCGGAGGTGCGCAGGGATAAGAGGGCTGAGTGGGTGGATCTGAAGGGTGTAGGTAGAAAATAGGCGTGTGCGCGCCGCAAAAGCGGCGAACGTGATATGGAAAGCTAACCAGCGTCGCGCGAGTGCAGCAGCGCAGCGGCGCGGCGGCTCGCATGAAGGTCTCTAAAGCCGATAATAATCTCATATGTAACCTGCGTGACGTCGTAAACGCGCCGTTGGCCACGTTTCATTTTTCTTTTCTCTTTTCTAACACGACGTTTTACCTTTCTTTTCTCGTCTGACGCCACTGCTTCCTCTCAACCTCGCGGGTGCGAGCCGTTTGCCGTTTGCGACTGTTCTCCAATCGATGCTCCCATCCTCGTTGTTGGGAAGCTCCATCTCGTCGGTCGCTTCTATCTTCTGGATGCAAAAACAACTGCAAGGTAACGCGCCATTCTCCTTTTGACGCGCCGCTTAATGTTGATGTCCTATCGATAATCGATATCTTGGTCACGATGATATCACGATCAACGTTGCGTCGTCTTCCGTAAATGAGGCTTCAATATCGTATGTACACATAAAATCCTCTCCATCTCGCAAAATTAATTCAAAGTTCAAGGAAGGAAACTGCGCATTTCTCCATGCAGCATCGACCAGTCCAGATGTGAGAGAAATCAGGACTTTATCCATGATTCTTCGGCACAAGAGGTATCGTTCATTCACCCCGAGGAACATCACCCCGCGCGATTGTGCATCTGTATCGAAATTTACGAGCTGACGATCGTCCTGCTGTCCCCGCGCTCCTTTCGCGGTATCCAGCGTCCGGTCTCACTTTTCCGGATCGCACGCGACACGTCTATTTACAGCGAGACAAATACGATATATATATATATATATATATATATATATACATACATACATATACATATACATACATATATATATATATATATATATGCGCATATATGTATGTTTGACATATGTATATATACGTAATGGAAAGTCGGATGCGCGACGACAACGGAACTGGAATACTCTCGCGGGTCACCGACCACCAATAAACTTGATGGTCACTCACGATCGGCAGTGCCGACGAGAAGCTCTCGGACACCGTGGCACGTGGATAACAAGTATACACAATCGATCATACGTTCTTTACACCTTTTAGGTATTCAGTTCACTGGTTCGTGAATCGCAAACCGACTTCAGTCACTTAAGAGTCCTCGAGTGACCAGCGGGCCAAGCGCGGTGGCGTGACCGGCCAATAAGAAGGCCAGGCCAATCCAACCGGTCGTGGTCCAGCCGCGATTTCTTGGCGGAACGCTTATGCGTATCATCGTGTCATCGTAATCTCGATTCGACGAGGGACCCAATGATCGGCTCCATCAGACGAGGGGCGTGCCGTACACCTCGTTCGTGTGTAAATTCTGATTGCTGTCGTTCTGCCTCGAGGCGCATTGCTGTAACAGAGAAAGCACGCGCGTCTATGCTGTAAACAGAGTTGCATCTCAATTCCCGAATGTATTGTATTAAACAACATTGTTGCATCGTGCACTGTGTGTTCGAAACTAGATGATCGCTGCTGCGTGAAATCCATTCGCGTATCCAAATATAAATAAATTTCACAATCGATCATAAATGATTTTACTGTAACGTATTCATGTAAATTATAAGAGATTATTACGAACTCATCCGTCATGATATACGATATAATAAAATATTAACGATTGCCTTAATACGAGCGTAAATATTTATATAGAGTAAACGCGTAAAATCGGCTAACTACATTAATATTTCTGTCGTGCAAATTGTATTGATTTTGATACGCGTTAAGAGTTGTCGTTGCGTAATACATAAAAGATCACGAACGATTTTGAACAATCACAGAGTAATTCTCATTTGCCGTTATCAAATGCAATTATATTTATCGATACACATTATCGATTTACAGCTATACGCCCGTAGGTGTATTTTCCCACAATAAGCTTTACCTCACATCGAGCAATTTCATGATAAATATTTAATTTCCGTCCATCCGTTCCGATGCATATAAAGATAACTGAATATACCGTAGAATCTGCTGAATTGTACATCGTTTTGCAATGCAAATTTTGAACGGCTCGATTACGGTTTATGACGATCCTATGTACGACGGACGGTGATATGAATATCTGAGATATACGACAACGTCATTTCGCTCCCGGCATTCGAAGAAATATCTATCGACGTTATATCGACTGATCCGAGGAGGAGGAGTAAGATGAATCGACTTACCGCTTGCTTTCTTTCCCAGCTCTTCATCGCCGACTTGTACTTCTCGAACTCGTGACACCAGTCGGAATAAATCTTCTGGTAGTCGTTGGATTTGGCAGGCGCCGAACATCTGTGCGCGTCCACAGTGATGTTGTACGAACACAAGAGAGCACCACCGAGCCAACAGTCGTATCTGCCGGCGTCCTGCTCGTTCACGCCGACGATTACCAGACCCTTCTCCGAGGTCTCGATGAATTTGTCGCCGCCGGCGCCGTATTTGTACGCGATTTGATATCTTCCCTTCTCCTTACTGTAATGGTACCACCGCACCTCCTGGTTCGCCAGGACTTCCGGCATCTTCACGAAGCAACCCAGATGCACCGATTGGCCCCACGTGACAACCAGTTTCCGTTTGCCGACGCTGCTGTCGCAAACGTCTGCCGTGGTGTTCGACACGTCTTGGAGAAGACTAAAAATTAATCAGAAGTCACGATTATACACACAATAATTCTGTCGCGAACACGTAATCTCGAACATTCACGTTTTGCCGTTGATTTTATTCCGAAATATTTCGAAATTGAATTTTGATTCGTCAGCTGCAATTTTCTTTTTTCTTTTATTTTATTTTATTTTTTTTTTTTTTGTAAAAGTATTTCGTTTCACTGGACGGAAATGAATCTGCGGTAACTGAAATATACGATGCGTAAAATCGGCGCGAATATTTCTGCTCCGAAATCTGTGCTGTAATCAAGCGAGTAAATTATGACGAAAATTGAATGTGTTTCATTCTTTGTTTTTTACAATACGTGTGCATCTTGCGTAAAATTAAAGATTATATAGTAAATTACACCTCACGTGCGTATTCGCAATTTATTTCACGATCACGTTTGTGAAGAATGCGATGAACACTTACCCTGGTTCGTAAGGTTTACATGTGTTTGAATCTTTATCCCATCCACAGTAAGGATCGTGGACGCATCGCAGGCAGTTGTCGTATCGTCGAGTGCACATTACTAGATCGATCTGTTTTATCCGATGATCCGACGCCACGTAGAGAGCCTTATGTTCCTTCGAGATCTCCATCGCCTGTATCGGCTCGCCAGGCGTGACATCGAAAACATCCAGCAAGATCGACTGGGATTCGCCATTACTGTCGATCCACTGTACAACCTTGTGAACGCGGCCATCACCTATAACACGCGATAAGAGGCACGCATTTTTATCGGAGGAACAGTAAGTTATCAGATCGCGTTTATATTCGTCTCGACAGATATTCGATAGTTTGCTTACTAGAGCCGGCGTAGTAGACAGTATAATCCAAATCGATGCCCACGAAGTCGATGCGCAGCTTATCGACAACCAGTCGCGTGAGCATGACGTCCCGCTTGTAGAAGACCGGTTTCTCGTTCTCGTGCGAAATCGCGGAGTCCATCAGTGGATGGGATCTTATGAAATTCAGGACGGTGTCCGGCAATGTCTCTGTGTCGTTGACGCATTGGCCCGGGCGCGGCTCCGGAACCTTGTTGGACAAGACTGGTAGCCACGCGCTACTGCTAGTTGCTTGCTCTTTGAATTTTCCGCGGAAAGCCTCTTGGATGGCGTCAATGTGGAAGGAACATATCGCGGAACCCATTAACCCGTTCGTCGATGTAGTAAAGGTACCATAGAAATGCGTATCGTCACCCGGCACCTTGTAAATGCTCTCTGAGTAATAGCAAGGATGCAATAATGTAATTACATGTCGCCAGAATATATGTGAGTCAGAATATGAACGTAATAACAAGATAATTTTTTCCCCGTTAAAAATAAATATTTTGTAACAACAGATACCATTTTGATTAGAGACTTTTTATCGTAACATTTTTTTTATATTAGAGAAAAATAATTATAAATATCTTTAATCCTCTGTCGGGGAAAGAATTGGGACTTTTAAAAACACCATCAATATTTTGATTGTGAATTTTGGTGGACAAATTTTAAATCTATAAAAAATAAATAAAATATAATCCGACTTCTAATATATTAGAAAATTTTTTCATATTTTTAAATAACACAGAACAATAAAAAAATTTTTTTTAGTCTGTTTTTGAAAAACCCCCTATTGTGTACCGCTGACAGAAGATTAAAATTAATGTTGCCGGCGAAGAGTTAAAAGTATTAAATTCTAAATGTGGTAAAAAATAGAAAGAAAAGTGTAATTTATACCATAAAAATATGTCATGCAGCAAAAATATATATCATGTTATACAGCATGTATGCCGATACTCACGTATTTCGTTGAAATAAAACGGGAACTCGCCGGGTATCGAGCAATTCAATCTGGCCTTGAGGTATGTGGCCCAATTCTGCGAGAGTATATTTTTACCGCCAGTGTCCCTCTTGCAAACTCTCGCCACGCGGGAATACACACTTTTACCACAGTTTATGTATTCGACCGCGGTCTCGCGGAAAAAGAAGAACACGTGGCTGCCGATGTCGAACGAACCCACGAAGTTCGGTTCTACAAAGATAAAGAGGCATGATATTATCTCATCATTAACTCTCTGATATTTTCGAGCGCTTTGAAATCTGTTTCTCAATTCGCAATTCTATGTACGTTTCCTCGCCGAGACGATATTTCGCAGTTGCAAAACTGTTCAACCGGAATATTCGGGCGAGTTTATACGGTTCGTAATCTAGCCGTCTACCTCATTCTACAGTAAAATAACTGCATCTAGAGCAGATAGTTCGCGTAGATACTCGGCAATAAGCGCGCACAATAATAATCGCGAATCGAGTATTCGCCGCGGGTGGTACGAGAAGATGTCCTTGCTCGTTCTATGCGTAAAAACTTTCATCGCCGGGACTGTTCCAGCTCCGTTCAAACGCGGACAATAATCTCCTCCGAATTCCATTTAACCGCAGGCAGTTCATAGGCAACGATAGTATTTTGTGCCTGTTTCAAAAACAAGTCAGAGGAAGGGAGAGCAAAAAACGGAATTATATAGTTGAACTATGTTAGAAATAATGCACTTTAATTGCGTCCCTTGAAAACGTTTCATGAAAAATAGACTGAGTTCAGTGAAAAAATTTTGCAATCTCGTTATTTGTTAAATTCATTCATAATAAATTTCTTAAAGTTCGTCTCGTCAAACACATAACTGAAATTAAATCGCAATTTATCAACATCCAGCGTAAGAAGCACCAATGAATTGGCTATATTGAATTTCGCGTAGTTGAATTATAAGAATTCATTGTTGTCCTTGGATAAGTTGCGCGAAAAAAGAGTCCGAAACAACACTGTTAAATTCATACTGCAAAAAATTATACCTCTAATTCGAATTTTAATAATTTCTAAAATTATTTCTAATGTCCAAAAGTCGTCACTGTTCCTCAATATAGTGTTAATTTAACTAAAACAATGGAATCAGATAAAAATCAAGAAATTTATTAAATTTAAATTACATTTGACTTATTATTTAGTAAGTGCTATACGTAATATAGGATGTTTACTTTCAAGCTAAGAAATTCAGCTACAGAAATGAATTGATTTAATATACATAGAAGTTAAAAATAACAAGATATTATTAAACTCAAGGAATTGAATTACTATTATTTCCTTGATATCTAACAATGAATTTCTCAACCCGGTTTAGTGAGCCCATAACTAGGGAACGGTTTCACAAGACATCGGTTGAGAAATATTATACATAATTATCATATATAACTCTGCTTCATCACAGTTGGAGATAATTATTATAATATAAATAGTATAAACTTTAATTTGTTTGGCCGATTTTCGATCAACGATTTTCGTGTGGTCTGGCTAAACACTAGATTCAGGTCCGATATGCGTCACACGGCATAAATCGCGCAAATATTTGCGTTGTTCGCAACTCGATGCAAACGTTGCGGTTTAATCTTGATGTAATTGCTTGTTGTACCGAGGAAACTGATTTATCCCGTACAACGATGAAGTTGGAGTTGGGTGACGCGAGAAAATGGCGAAGAAAATCGAATTTTTCCACGTTCGAATCGCGTCAACGTCGCCGGAGTCGGGCCGGGCCCTCTCTCGTCGATTTTATATTATGCGGCGGCGCTCGGCTGGAGGCCGCCGCAATCTCTCTCACGGTTCAGCGATTAAATCGATTGTCTGACGCTTCAACGGCGGAAGTTTGATATATTGGGGCGGTACAAGCCCATGTAGATAGACGGGGACGAGCGAGAAGGAGAGAAATAATTTACGAAGAGAAGACGTGGAAGCATCTCATAGTAAGATGACTTTTGATTGGCCCACCTCGATGTTGTTGACGAGCAACGTACGATGGAGTTCGAACATTGAAAGTGCTCGCTATTGCCATTACACTTCAAGAAGAAGAGCGTCTCGTTACATCGCGACGAAAAGAGATTTTCACATTTTAAATGCAGCGGATATTCGAAAGGAAGATGGTTAATGTTCGAGCGAAATTCCACACGCGCAACGATCCATGAAAGTAGACGCTCGTCAGCTAGTTATTCAAAGCTTGTTAAGTCCATTGCGTTTTACTCCCTATTTTTCTTCGTCTCCCTTTCCGTCTGCGATTTACCCTCCCGGAGCAGGTTTTCCTTATCATGACCTCGCACCACGAACCGCATCAGTCTTCATTGCGTCTTGCCTTGCCGCCGAGTAAACCGAAGAAGAGAGAAGGAGAGGCTATGAGCGAAGAAGGAGGTCGACGAGGAAGAAGGGTCGGAGAGTCACGAAGATTATACGAAGACCGCGCGTGGAGCCCATCCGTCTCTTCCGGGACTCTCGCCTGCTTTTAATCAACGCCTCTGTTAATAGACAAACTCGATGCGGAGAATGGTCCTTGATGGTGGCGCTCAGTAGTCTTGCTTGTAGGGTCTAAACGGAGGTGGCTCCTGGCAGCTTGGGAGGGGGAGGAACAGGCAGAGACGAAAGAGAGATAAGGAAAAGAGAGAGGGGGGGGAGGGAGAGAGACAGTAGCGAAAGGGCTGCTAGCTCGAAATTAAACGACGAAACAAATAGCTAATCATGCGTCCCGCGGGAGGGCACGAAGGATACAAAGTGGGACAAAGTCGTCCAACCGTTCCCTCCGGCTTTTGCCGCTTCGATACCGCGACCTTCCTTCCCGACGACGACGGTTGAAGGAGCGGGCTCGAGTGGCGGCACGCTTCGACAGAGTGAGGAAAGGCGGAAGCAGCCCCCTCGAGAAATACAAAGCAGCCGTCTAACCGTCTTGCGCCATTATTCCGGACCGGTATGTCGTGCATGAACGCTCGCCGCGAAAGGATTGTGTCAATGACGCTAAGTTAAAATTAATTATTTTCGGACAACTTATTTTCCTGTTTGTGTGACCGAAAAAAAGTAATTTTTATTATAACAATTAATAAATAAAAAAATATTTATTTAACAAAAATTTACATAAATATTTCGTTTGTATTTAGCTTGATGAAGTAACGAACCAATAAAATGCAATGGGAAATGTAAACTATTTGTGGAACAAGACTTTCTTGACAATCATTTTAAAATGTAGACAGTCAAAGAATATAGCAGAATTTCGATATTAAACGCTAGTATAACTAAATTTCGTATAACTAAAATTTCAACGTATTCCTCGTGTCCCGTCACGACCGACGAACCTAACGAATCGGATTCTATTTACACTTGATCATCGCAAATCAGCGCGCTCTGCACCCCTACCTCCCGCGAGTTACGCTATTAAATTCCATGTCGGATTGTGTGTCTATATTCGACGCACGTCCTAATCTACATTTTCCAATTTCCTTGCCGGGCCGCTTTTGCCGCGCCTCTCACGTTCCGCGCTCCGATAACGAAAAATCGAGAGGATCGCAATAATCCCGGCCGACGAATCAGAGAGCCGGTAAAACTGATTAAAGCTTGGGCTTCTGAACTACGCGGGACTGAGACGAGGTAAAGCGGGGGAGAGCGGTTTCCGGCGGACGGACGGGAAAACTTTAACTTCTTCAGTCGGCTCGCTTTCTCTCCTTTTTCTCGAAAAAGGAGAGAATACTTTCGTCGAGAACGCAGCGTTTAGGACGAGGAAGATCGCGCCGGGGTGTTATTTTATTACCCCGTTTGTAGAGAAAGAGAGAAAAATCCGGCACCCTCTCTAACCGGTCCGATAGCGAACCTAGCGCCGACATCGCCCTCCAAACTCTTATAATTCCACTTCTAACCCATCCCCGCCGTCGTTCCCTTGCTTTTCTGTGCGAGAACCTCCTCGTCGTCGGCGAGGAAGGCAGTAGTACCCTTGGAAAATAGGCGGGGCAGTTTATTCGCATCCATTTGAACCCGAAGCGTGTTCCCGGTTGACGGGGCCCTACTTCAAAGCTCCCTGTCTATTTCCTAAGCAGCACACCCTTCCTGCATGGTTTCTTCAGGAAGACCTGTTTCGCTTTTTAGCCGATCAAGGATGTCCCCTCTTTCTGTTAATACTATGCGCTCTAAGCCTAATGGAAATTTCATTGTTGCCTCGACACGCCGTAATTATCTCCAAGTAAAGGTTTCTCTATGAAGTGCGGAGATCCAAGTACGGTTGATAATAATGGACGCACCGATCAATATCTTTAGATACGTAGGGGAGACGTAATTATAGAAAATACGCGTCCAAAAGGTACTATCACATCGAGAATTCAAACACGAATATTGTAAAGTCATTGAACATCATCTTCGATTCAATAAAAGAATTTAGATTTTCTATTAAGTCTAATTATTAGATTGATATAAAAATATGTCGGTGGCTTTTTACTTTTCTGATTAAAATAAACAACTATTGATTGATCAAAAACTGTTAATTGATTAATTCCAGTGCAATCTCTTAAGTAGTTTTTAATAGATCGGCTTCAATAATTGTCTTCAAAGTTGTTGTCAATGACTGGCAATCATCCCCAATCCTTTTCATTTTCAAGACTGTCATCTCCGTTACAAAATTTTTGGAACCATTATTATCCTACGTTTGTAGTTTCTTAATCGAATGTTTCAATAATTCTTCGACTTATTCCTACTATTTTGAAACCTAGTTTGAATTTGTATTCAAAATATTCGGAATTGTTTCTTTTTCATATTTAATAATAATGAAAATTAATTGATCACAATATTAACATTGAAAACATAATTATACTAGTATAATTAACGAAGCGAAATCTGCGCTTGAAAATGATACAACATGAACACGATCGAACATATATCCTTATTGTAGAATAAAAGCCCTCAAACTTTAAAATAGTAAAAACCGGCATTATTTTTGCATCAACCTAATATTATAAGTTTTTGGCTAATGATATCGTTTGTGAAAAGAGTACTCACTGTCGAGCCACTTGGAGTCGTACTTGAGTGTCCTCTTGAAGCTGTACGTCTTACGACCGGTAGTCAGATTGTAGAGATCCGTGCGGAAGATTACGGTATCGGCTTTGGTAAACTCGGCGTTCGTGCCGGAATAAAGAGCTGGCAGGTCTCCGGGATTGCCCTTCTCGACCCAAACCGCCGTCGAATTGTCCGCAGGGTCATAAGGGCACTTCGCGATGCCCATTCCCACTCCCGGGACAAACTCGTGGCGCGGTAAGTGAGTCAAATTGCTCTGGAAAGAACATCATTTGGAGGACGTGGTCAGATAGGCACAGATAATATAAGATGTTATAGAAACAAAAAGGGTGAGTTAAAAGGCACAGATATTCTCTTTACAGAAGGTAATAATAAAATTATACATCAGTTTGATTAACCTTTAAATAAGTACAAGTGATTTAAAGTTATAGTTTAAAATACAAATTGATAGATATAGAATGCTCATAATAGTCCTAAAAATTTTTTATTTTGTAATTGTTTCTTTATTAATTTTTTATTTTTACTATTATTTTTAATATATTACTATTATTTTTACTGTTAAATTTATATTAGTTACATCTTTAGAAGATAAAGAAATATAAAAATAATAAAGATTTTAAGACTTTTAGGCACTGGACTATATTTTTTATTTTCCTTTTCAAGAAAGAAATTTTAAAGAAAATTATATCTGTGTTGTGTGTGGCTATCTCATCTATTCACTTAAAGGTTCAATTTCACAAAATATCAATTTTGAGCTGATTAATAAATTCGTAGAAAAAATAATGAAAGAAAAATAATTTTGAAGCACGTTGTATAATAAATTTTTAATATTTATATATATGTACTCTCTAAAAGTGAATCAGTGTATTATCACTGACTTCAGTGCTACATTTATAACTGATGTAGTCATTAGTGAATAGTCATTACTGTTTTTTCAATATACTGATTCACTTTTAGAGATTATGATTTTGAGGTTATGAATCATAATTTCTCAAAATGAATCAGTGTATTATTACTAAAAAACAGTAAATATTCGCTAATATTTATATACAGTTATATAATATACTGATTTACTTTTAGAAAGTATATATATATATACATCGATTTGTTTATAAAATTTAATACCCCAAATAGCTTGATGTAATTTCATTATTTAGTAGCTACAATTTCCAGTAGTAGCTTGGGTAAGCGGCTGGATGTTATTATTACGTGAGATGTTACGGCACACCCGGGACTCATAATGTTTAGCAAAGCGAAACTGTTGTATCTTTTGTCGTGTTGTTATACGGATACTTAAGCGCGAGATTCATTCATCTGCCTGGACGCTTTGATGCACTTTACACAACTTTGCAAATCACATCATGCGGATTTATACTATTGCGATAATGCATGTAAATTTCCATTAATAACAGCATTATTCATTATATGGCTTTAAATATTTCGACGGGAATTAAATTAAAATGTACCGAGGAATGCGTGAGTGGCGGTGAAATTTATTCGTAACGCGAAAATTAATTAACGATATTATTTTCAGATGCCTCCTCGCGTTCTGTTATTAATTAATTAAATTAAGCGTAAAGCAGCACAAATCGGTGTGCGTTGCACATATCACGCTGAATCCGTAATACATTTCAAGGGAAGTTGCGGATGTATTTAACATCGTTTCGCATTTTCAATTTTCAATAAACAAATGACAGCAAACGTTTAAACGTATATATATAGTTTTTTCAGCTCTTTGCCAGACCAATTGTCGTTTTTAACAATTTCACAATCCAATCACAAACTGTCGCGTATTACAAAATCAAATTTAACGAATTTATTTAGTATACATTGCATTTGTAACGTATAAAAGGAAAAGAGAATTGAATGATGTGAGAAATTGTAGGATTTATTTTAACATCCTACTATTGAGAAAATAAAAATAATTGTACATGTTGTATTATGACTGAGAAGTTTAATGACGTCCAGAGTGATCGACGATATTTAAAGACATCGATGGACTATTTTAATCTTAAGTTAGATACTTCACCTGTTTACTTAAAGATTATATTTTATATAAGATATGTAGTAATTAATAATCTCAAATCTATATTTACGCATAGAAAGAGTGCTGAAATATCTAAAAATGTAGTTGACTACAAATCTGAAAAAAATAACTTTGTTCGACCATCAAAAAATGATGTATTATTTCAGAATGCTTAAACTGGTTGCTACAAAATCAATATAACTTTTTGATCAACATTGCTTGAGGTTTCTGCATAATTATTTTAACGGATCAACAAAATCATTTTCAAATCTATAGATATCTTGCTTAATTGTTAGACATTTCAGCACAATTGTCCTTTCCGTAAACGTGTTCTATATTTTCTCTAATGAAAGTATAACATGAAAACTTACATAAATCACCCAATCCTTAGGTGAATGTGCGTTCGTACCGCACATATAAAGGCGATTGCCATCTCCCATCGGCTGTATCACTCGTATATGGTTTCGGCAATCGAAATGCTGAAAAAGAAAAATCGGGTAAATTAAATTCAGTGAGATGAATTCAATACGCGGCTGCGTTCCCTTAGAACTCTTTAGAAAAGCGAAACATCACGTCGCATGCGCAATCGTCATGAAATAAGCACTCAATATTAAAAAGAATAAAGTTTATATGACTTATTTGCGATTGCTCATCGTTTGCACATGTATGCAAAAATTTCAAATTTTCGTTTGTACACTTTCAGTAAAAAAATTGTTCAAAAAACAATTTTAGGAAGGCTAACTTCACACTAGCCCCCAATAACTTCAAAATTGGATTGAAAAGATCTTAATCAATGGATTTTTTGTTTGCACATCTTTAATTAAAAAGTTATTACAATCGAATTAAAAAATCGAAAAAGGTTGAAAGCGATAGATAAGTTTGTTTGAATCATATCTACTATGCTCAAAACGGCATGAATTGATAAGTTTTAGTTTGCACATTCCGAAACAAGTCGATTTTTCATTTGCACACCTCTATAGTTAAAAAGTTATTAACAAATAAATGATAGGGGGTTAACTTTTCACTGCAAAAAGTACGTTTTTAACTCAAATTCTAAAGAGACGAGATTGAAATGACATTAATCGATAGATTTTCGATTGCACATCTCAAAACAAGTCAATTTTTTCGCACCTATAGTTAAAAAGTTATTAACAAATAAATGATAGGGGGTTAACTTTTCACTGCAAAAAGTACGTTTTCAACTCAAATTCTAAAGAGACGAGATTGAAATGACATTAAGGGGGTAGTTGGGTATGAAATTTTCAAAAAAATCAATTTTCCAAATACATCATTTTCGTGCACCAAATACATGTAGAAATATGGTAGTGAACGTAAATTTCGTGGAACCGATCGAAAAAAGGTCGAAAATAGCAACACAATGCGAGGTGTCCTCCGAGCGCTCGGCGTATACCTGCGGCGCGGTCGAACAGCTGGCGCTCTCTTCCCCTCCTGACGTTTATGAATATTTGGTTTCTTAGCATTTCAGTTTCAGTTGTATGGCAGTTTACCTTTGTAACGGTTGCATCATGTATGGAGCAGGAATTGCCGACTGATGGTCGAATTTTGCAATTTTTACCCACTTTCTCGCAACAAAAACTTTAAATGCGTTTTTCTCGAAACCACTTTTTTTGACATGGGGGACAAGATTGTGAAAAAACTACTGAACGGATTGGGCTGAAATTTTAAGGGGTTGTTCTAGACATGTCTACCTATGGTATATACTACGGATAGAAATATTCATTGACATTTAATATATTTTTTTAAACAATTTAAAGTGAAAAAATAAGGTGAAAAATTCAAAAGTCCGCCATTTTTTTTTTTTACTACCGGGGTGAAAGTTTTTAGTATATACCATAGCCACGCACCTACTCTTTCAGAAAATACCCGGACTTTTGTTTCAAGACGACCAGAAGCTGCGGAAAAGTGTCCCCCGTGCAAAAGACAGGTCTACTTCGGGCAGTCAGGACACCACCAGGGTTGCCAAAAAAAAAAAAAAAAAAATATCTTATATATCTTTTATTAAGTCTCCTTCAAATGGTATTCGTAACTTTTCGAAAAATAAATTTTTTGTGTGTTAAATAAAATCTTTAAAAAATGGTCGTTCATACCCAACTACCCCCTTAATCGATAGATTTTCGATTGCACATCTCAAAACAAGTCAATTTTTTCGCACCTATAGTTAAAAAGTTATTAACAAATGAGTTAGGGGACCAACTATACACCACAGAAATTACGTTTTCAGTTCGAATTCTAAAGAAACGAGATGGAAATGACATCAATCAATAGATTTTCGATTGCATATCTCAAAACAAGTCGATTCTTCGTTTACGCACTTTTGGCTTAAAAGTTATTAACAAATAAATAGTAGACAGCTAACTTCACACTGCAAGCAGAATTGCGCAAATGAAAACATATCGATTCATACCATTTTGAACATAGTAGGTGCGATTTGAACTTATCTACCGTTTTCAACCTTTCTCGATTCTGTAAGAAATTATTTAATGGATTGTCCTGAATGGCTTGACTGAGTAATTACGAGTAAACACTTTGATGGCATGATAATGTCATATTTTAGCAATGCCGTGACTGACTCGGGCGGGCTCTTGCTCCACAGTGCCACAACAAAATAGACAATCGGCGCTTCACGTGATACATGTCTGACTACGATCTGGAAACTTCGGCGTTACATGCAAACAAAAAAACAAATTCACATATACTTAATGTAATTAAGGTTCATCTTGCATATATTATATTTTCTCTATTTCTATAATAGTTCATATAATTACAATTTTTTAATTGTTAATAACTTTGTAACTAAAGATGAGCAAACGAAAAACTGATTTGTTTTGAAATGTACAAACAAAAATCTTCCGATTAAGACCTCTTCAATCCAATTTGCTCGAAGTTGGAGGGCTAATATGAAGTTATAGTCTCACTCAAATTGTTTTTTGAATAATTTTTTTACTGAAAGTGTGCCAACAAAAATTCGAAGTGTGCATACATGTGCAGCAAATAATGAGCAATCGAATAAGTTATACGTTATAAACTTTATTTTTTTCAATGTTGGGGACTAACTTCACGACGGTGTCGTCGCGGTCGATCACGTCGTGCGCGTATTTCGCGGCGAATCGGTGCACGGGAAATGAATTGGCTTTGTCGTCACGTAGGGAATATTTGCGTGGACCTTACACCTCGACGACGACGCGTACACGGTGCATACGAATGAAGCTGTGATAAGCGCGCGCGAGCACGCGTGTCTATGGGACAGAACGCGATCGTGCTCGTTTTATCGCTGTGGTACCACGATTTCGGGATATGAATAAAAATGGATGCGCGTTAAAAAATCAGAGTTCCAGATTAACTTTAATTTTCAGTCCAGATACGATAATTTAGAAAAAAGAAACTCCATCACACGTAAGATTCTTCTTCGACATTATATTTATATGCTAAAATTTATTAAAATTTATTTGATTGAAATAGATGCAATAAAGAGACAGATTAGTTAACGGAACTTTAATGTATTTGTATAATTCAGAAATTAAGACGCAGTGCGGTAGAAGTTGATGTAAATTATTCGGAAAGAAGAATACTGCGATGAGATCCCTTTGCGTCGAAGATACAAATGAGATACATTCTCTCTCGAATCCGGAATGACACCGCAGTGTCTATTAAAAAGTAAGCTTGCACCTTTCGTTTCGCGCGCCTTCAAAGACACTAGTTCTTTTTATTTTACACCACGTCGGCTGTTTGTGACTTTTTTTCTCCTCGATGTTACGTACGATGTCTTTTTTTGCAATCACAATTCCTTGGCCTTTCTGTTTCAGGACGCATTCAGGCCAGTTTGTCGGTACCGGAATTAAAATTGTTCTCAAAGACGCGCAATGCGAAAAGGAACGCAAACCAAACTGTGAGAAGGAGACCTACCTCTGATTTGCCTTTGGATACGCAATTTGCCACATTGCTGGGTTCCAGATTCAGAGCGTCTCTCTGCAACAAAGAAAAGACATAAATTATATCACATGGTCTTGTAAATTAAAGCAAAATTTATTGGAAAACTTGAGAGATATTTATTGCACGCATAGGTATAACATTTGTTGTAATATATCTTCGAAAGTCCGAAAAATTCGAATGTTTCATATGGTAAGAATAAAGAGCATTCTATTTCGAAAGCGACTTTATAATTATTCATCTTTTAAAGGAAATCTACAGGACTTCTCTTTGTACGTGCTCCTTTCTTACGGGCGGACGCTCGATATGCTCGACCTTACAAGAAGTGTTAGAAGTGCATACTTCACATTTTGCCTCGTATTACGTCACTGTCGCAGCAGCCTCTCGTAACGCGGCTAGAAAGACACTAGAAATCCTACATCAGAATAAGGTCAATATTCAGGATTTACAAAGAAAATTTTCACACGGAAAAAGCTAACAAAACTCTTCCTTTCTTTTTTCCCCTTTTCTTTCCCTTTTCTTTATTTTAAAATAGGTCATTGTGATTGTTCTGGATATAATTCTATCTCGTAAAATAGCAAGGTACCTCTCTACATTATCCTGGAATGTGCAATGTCCTTGTGTGAAAATATTTAGAAAAAGTGTTTTGCAAATATGTACTTGCTGTGATGCACGCTCTGTGTAACAATTTCTTCCTGTTGCGGGATACGCTCTATGTGTATGTCGAATAGAATACGATTACGGCATAGAGGAAGTGGTTCGCTTGCAAGGTCAATCGTCCGAAACGTGGACCTAACGATCGATCTCCGCCGCGTGCCGTTCCACGGGAATGTCACAGCCAGAAACGGAGTCGATGTTCGACATTGTCCTGGTCGTAAGGGTGAGCCAAAACAGCGTTCCCCGACGTTGATCTACGACCAATAAATTACCGAAAGAATCGCTCCGCGTTGCGACGAGCGTTGGACGAATGGTCACGGACAAGAGTGGACAACATAGGACGTTAAATCATAGCAATTTCTACGCAGCACAATCAGGGTCTGTGATTCATCTCCACTCTCGAGAAATTCTCCGAGTGATGCATCGTGATAGTAAACCGAGAGAACGTATCGGTCGTGTGTAGCGTCCGTTTGCAATTTTGTAAATTCTTAAGTGAATAAACACACCCAACAATAATCTTCGCCAATCGTAACGCACTGAAATCCCTGCATTGCGGAGCAGATAAATATACAATATTGTTTCTACATACGATTCGCTGAACTCCGCAAGTCACATCCTATGCACAATTTGTCGGATAGGACGTACGTTGCGTTGGCGAGAATCCAGGCGACGCGGTTGAAGTGGATACGAACATGATTTACCTCGACGTATGGTATATACATGGGTCGCAATATTCAGAACGGACTTGGAATGCCCTATTATAAGCATAATCCACTTACAAACAGTGTCGCGTCTAGCTCCGTGCAAGTAAGCGCGCTTATCACTGCGGTAACTTCGACTCGAACTTTCCAATGAGCGTGCATGTATGCACGCTACACGGAATAATAGCATAGTGATAACGGATTACTCGCGATTGTCTTATTGCATTTGACTAGCGCCTGTATTATTCTCCTTTGATTTGACGAGCCTCCATCGATCCGCATTCGATCCGGCTCCCGTCTCTCCCTGTTGCTCGAGAAGATTCGGGATTGGCTCGAATGTGATTTCCACCTTGGAAAACCATTAAAATCGGTTACAAGCCTTCCCCGTCGTCCGCGTGGGCATTGATAACGATGTATTACTCGTTAAGCACCGCAGTACATTAAGACAGTGTACATAGCCGGCGGCTCGGCGGTAATTAAAAGCGGAGCAATTCCCGGTATCCGCGCTTATACCCCATAAGCCCCGCTTCTGCAGATCTCCTCGTTATACTAATCATTACAATCCGTCCGTGAGCCCGACACGGAGATGAGAGCGCTAAGATGGCGAGAAATAGCGAAAGACGGTTGGAGGAGAACCTTACGGCAAAAACTGAGAGATAAGAAAGTTTCCCAGGCTCGTGTTCTTTCATAGAATACAATATAGTTAACAACGTGTAATGCCACTTTTAAAGCCAATCCCGCGTATGTAAAGGATTTTGATTTGAACACGTGGATTGCGCGTATTCGCTTTTAATTAATCTGGTGAATAGTCATCTAGGATGTTTTTGCACCCCGACAGTGAAAAAATGTCAATTGTAAAATATTGTTTTGTATGGATTATATTGTTAAATAATTTTTTCGTTTTTAATAACGATATTTTTTATAAAACTTTAAACGTGAAATTTCATCGAAAACCTGCAATAAAAAATAGGTTACATTAATAAAATCTTATTTTTGAGAAATATTGTCATAAGTCACTTAACTTATTGTGTTTAATATTTAGTTTTTAATGTTTGGTTTTTATTCATTTTTTTTCAAGAAAATTATGATTGAAGCCCCATGTATAAGTGTGTGTAAAGCTAGCGTTTCACTTGGTGGAAACTCATTAAATATTGAAAGTTCTGAATTTATTTTCAATAGAGCTATAGTTCTATGTATAGAGATTCAATTTATTCGTAATGTTTTCAATAAATTGGAAAACAATAAATAATATATATGTTGTTAATAATAATAAGTTTAATTAAGATGTAAAAACACACGTGACGTTTGCATAAAAAGGATGAGATGACTATTAACATAATGGCAGTATTTAGCAGAGGAAGCTGATCAGTAAGCGCTGATTCCTTGATATGATTGGTTCTTGCCTTCTTCACTGGATCTAACTGTAAATGTAAAAGTGAATTATAATAAAGAATCACTCTGAGCGTTCAATGATCAGTTTTCTTTGCTGAACGCAGCCATTAACTGGCATTGTTACACGACTATGTTCGGTCACGTATGTAGTTAATAACGATCTTAAGGCCGAAGCACGGATCTTTGCATAATGCATAAAGCATGAGAAAATTAACCAATCAGAGTCTCTTATTTCATGAAGAGGAAGGAAATGAAGGATTTTGATTGATTCATTTTCTTGTGTCATGCGTTATGCAAGACTCTGTGCTCCCGCTCTTACGCGGCATAGGTATATAATTTCATCAAAATCGTAACGATTTGTGTCTTAATTCTCTCTAGTTCAGGCAACACACCATCGAAGAGTGGTTGGAATAAAAAACATATATAAATGTTTTTTCGCGAGTTATACCTAAATTCGGGCGCTAGAGATCTAGAAGGGGTACACGTAGGTGCAGCTGTCGGCAATAATATTGTCGCCAAACCGCTATGCATCATTTTATCGCGCCGCCTACGACGCCATTAACTTTATAGCACCAGAGCGTGCCTCCCGGCATGCAAACGCCTCGACTTCCATTACCGGCGTGATACGCCGACTATTAAACAGAAATATCTCCCATCACCTCTCGCCTGCCGGTGTGTCCTACTCTAAACTCCGGGAATCTAACTGTCGCGGATTTTCTCCTATCATTTCCGTAACAGGATGTTACATTACCTTCTTTCGTCAACGCATCCGTTTTACACGTTATTATGTCGAAATATAGAAGCATGTTTATAGGAATTTCGATATTCTTCATTGAAAAATTTATAGATCAATCAACCAAATAACAGAGAAATCCCAAGAACATTGTCTTGAAATTGCCTGAAGAAAAAGACATCTACACCACGTTTACGTTCCATTTCGACTACGCTCCATTCTTTATACTCATGCGCGGAAGCCTCTCTCATTCGCTTCCTCCGTTGAAGGCTTACGCCGAGTCGCTGGAATACACGGCTTCAGACTTTCAGTATTCGGGCCGGATTGATTAAGTTCTTGGCAAGGTGACGATGTTACGACAGAGAAGCGTCCAAAGGTTGTCACTGCTCGTATATTCTCGTTCGTTCGTTTGCCCGTCCTTTTCTTTCTTCATTACGCTTCGAGCTTAATCATCGTCGCAATTTGTGCACACTGAAAATTTCTGTGTGTGCGTGCGTATGCATTTCTGCAGGATGCCAGAAACGGCTTGCAGATGATTAGCTTCCTTGAAACGAAGACGTACTGTACCATTCGTATGCCTCAGTCTTTGTCGATGCCGCCGTTGATTTTCTCCTTTTCAGCTTGCTGCTTCCAGTGGTACTGGCGCCGAGCGATTATAAATATAGCATTGCGAAGACACGCAAGGCTGTAATTATCCCTAAGCATGACTCATTTCGAGATATCAGTGAATCACTAAACTAATTTTCTAATTTACTTTAATAGAAACGTTACGATATTTATCTAGAAATGAGTAATATTATAGAGACGCTATCTTTCTACTTAAATATTTAATAAAAAGAAGTATATGTTTCATGAATATTTCCTCCTAAATAGAAAAACATGTACGCGGATCAAAGTTCTTACTAACATCAGAAGAAGAGAGAAAGTGGAAGATCAACGTATGCAAGGAGGTGGAATCGTATAATTTACCGTGCTAAAATATTAAAGATAGAAGACTACTGTGGCATCCCCAGGGTATCGACACCCCCTAACCTCGGAAACTCAAGAAACGTAACGGTACCTACGAGGCTCCCTTAAAAATTCACGAGTCGAGGCCACCGCGGCGCTTTTTATCTCATCAAATAGTAATGCCGGGCATTGGACCGTTAGGAGGCGGTATCCCCTCAGGCTTTCCTGATCACGCGTCACGTATATTGTCACGGTGCGTCGAGGGGCAAAAATTTAAAACGTCTTATTATTTTTTTTTTTTTTGCGTATTTTTAAATAACTTAGAAAAATCTTTGCGCTTTTTCGAAACTATTCTTTCCCTATCGAATCTTTTTATTCAACCGATACGCTTTAAGAACGGTTGCGAAGAAGAGCTCGATGGTATGATCGAAACGTGAGTGGTGTACAAAGAGTGAAATGCATTCGTGATAAATTCATATAGAAATGACGTACGATTGGTTGGCATCATATTGTCCCTTTAGCGCCGAATGATGTCTACATCCTCGATTCGCAGTCATGTCAGGTGGTAACCTTCGTTACGCATAAAATTTTCGCGAACTGACCTGACA